GACTGTTCAATGTTTTACCAATTCTTAGTTACTAGTGTAATCGAGCCTCACAAAGAACTGTTTGACATGCCAAAGCCTTCTTCGCTGGCCAGCGGACTTACCAAAAAGTTAGGGACTTAATTACAGCACTATGCCGACACCTCGTCTTGCTCACGTTATTTTTTACTTATGTCTTCCTTGTGATTTATTCTCAATCATGGACGAGACCGAAGTAGTCAGAATTGTGGAATCGACTGTTTTAAAGAAGAACGAGAATCTTTTAGCGTCTATGAAATCGTTTCTTGATGACTCGATCCTTAAACGAGCTGAAACGTTCGCATGCGGACACCGCAGATTCCCACATCAAAGAAATCAAGAAGCTTAAGAACCCTTATTCTAGGTTGTTGTATAACGTATTGTTATATGTGCGGTGCTCGGCCGAATCAGCCATAATAAACCTGATGGTTTTTCTAATTTATGTTGTACTGCGTGGTGGAGCCGAAATTTACTCATTTCATTAGCTAATATCAAAGGAAAAAGGTTGTATGATACCAAAATGATTTAAATAAGTCTGAAAGGAGACAGAAATAATGTTTAGAATCACGTCATATGACTATCAGATAATGACAAGTAAATGACGTAATTCTTGGAAGAAATTGAGAGTCATGTTACCTTTAAATATACTAGGATATAATTACAGCAGCACGAAAACGTGCTTAAGTAACATGAACCTAGATAAATATTCGTTCAGTGATAAATGTATTATCATATTTAAGTAAAACGTCCTAAGACAGGGTCACATAGATGAAATGCCATTTTCTGGCATAGCATGAGCTAAACACAAAATAAAGGATACAAATAATTATGACAGGGAGCTAATCCCCGTGTTTCAATAAGTTGTTCTTTGGTTTTTTAGACTTCATTTAATTCAAGGGGGTTTTCGAAAGTGTAACAAGTAAAAACTGGAAGACTTTGATAGTTTTGCTAAAGAGAGAACTTCAGTGTCCGAAATATATACAGTACTACGATGAAAAGTTATGATATGATTGTGATACGTGACAAACGATTTCTCCTTTTGGCATCCGTGACAGGACCTCTTTCGAAATCGTGTTTCCCGTTTAACATCATATAAATATTGCCCTAAACTATTTCAAAAAAATATTCAAAGCCCAAAGAGAAAGTAATGTTTATAGTATTAGAGGAACTAATAGGTACTCTCTCTCATCTACCGCTCCTTGGGCAGAACTTGATCGCAGGCGCACATTCACTGCTCGGAACACATGATTTTAAAGTTTCTGAGCATGTGATAGAAAGAAAATGACGTTTTAGTCCGCTTATAACTCTGCTTATGTGGTATATACGAAAACAGTTTTTCACCTCAGTGTCGGTGGAAATGCTAATCTGGTTATTGGAGTTCTACGTCATCAGTTTTTTGCCTGTTTGCTCTATTTCTGCCACTTTATCGTGGTTATTTTTCCGCCGTCACAGATGTTTTTCATTAGAGCATTTGAAATGTAGTACCATGTTCTAAAATGTGTTATATTTTCAATTCTGTTGTGCTAAAGTTAAGTTTTTCAGGTAAAATATTGTATTTGAAATAGTAGTTATGGGGAATTTGCTAGTTTCGTCAACGTGTTTTGAAAGTTGAAAGTTGATGTGTGGACGATTTGATGACAGGTTGAAAACCTCTTCATCTTACATATATTCTAATATGGTGAATTCTTGCCCCTCATTATGGTGTGCATAGATATACCATGATACATCGGAATTTTTTATACCGAAAAAATAGAGAATTGTGAGCGCTTTACCATTCATTCATCAATCTGACAGAGTGGAGCGAAGGGCGAGTGACGTGTTAGTAACTGATTGGCGATATCAAACACACGTTGAAAATTTTCTTATTCTAGACGTGTACTGTTGAGTCGTTTCACAGGCCCTGAAATCGTTGTAAAACAGCGCAATGTATGCGATAGAAGCTGTTAAAGATGTCGATGAAAGGAAAATGTTTCTTTTTCAGAATGTAAAAATTGTATTTTAAGGTAAACTTTACTGGAGTTGATTCAGACAAATCTTTCATATCAGTTTACCTTTTTAGCCCTTGTTATTGTTAGCTTTTACCACAACATAAGTTAGTTAATTAGTACAAAGGCCACGTTCCCGGAAATCGCGCGCGCTTATTCGCCTGATTACAAGTTTTTCATGCGTAATACAGGATACGTAAGGAAATACTAAGGAACCACCTCAAGGATATGGAGGTTACGTGCAAACGACAGAGAAATAAAGTAACCATTTTTTAATATGGATAAGTTCTTATAAATACAATAAATAAATATGAAACGTAGAAATGATGCTATGATAAATGTTGCAATGTTCGATATAAATTTAGTCCTTGTGTTCCAGACACATTGTAGAGTTAAGAAGTTTCTAGCTTTAAATATTCTATGGTGCGCACGAACAGGCTGTGTTAAACGACACTCCTTCCATCGTGATCGTACGGGACGGAACACATTTCCTCTGGTTGTTGTTGTTTGCCATCGAACTGACACATGCAGTTTTGTAAGACGTTATTGTCTTACAAATAGGAACAGATACCTTGTTGTTGCTTGGCAAAGTGAATGACACAACTCTGCCAGTGTAACAACTGGGCTCGTCATCAGGGGACCTCTTTTGTCTCCATGCGGCAGCACCTAGCGTATATGGGACTCCGCCATCTTGAGTTCTACGTAACATTTTACTAAACCCAGTTGCCCGGCCATTTCCACGGTGAAGGAAAATTGCGAGGATAACGATGAGAACCTAGAGAATATAGATCCTTTCTCAACTTATAATCAACAGTATATATCCTACAATTGATTTGATGGTAAAACTGCAGCTGAATGATGATCTACAATTTACTCTTTTCACGCCAAAAGTGTTTTTGCATCATTTGACCAGAAAAGGTCAGAAAGCGTTTGTTGTTGCCATGTAAACCCATTTAGAAAAATATCTAATTGTGGGATGATATTTCACAATGATAATTCTCATGCATACGTATAACAAGATAAAGGTACATTGTTTTACCGTGTAAAGTTCCATGACTCAATTCCTTAGCTAATGTTTCTTGTTAGCTTCTGCAGAGCCTTCACAATTTGTTTCTTTTTCTTCTTTAAAGTTGATTTTGATGCCGAGAAAAGTTTCTCTTCCCTTAAATACAATTCAGTGTTCCTAATTTGGCGCTGATGTATAGATCTAAAAGTGAATAACTACCGCTTGTCTTCATGAGTTTCATGTTGTTTTGGCACAGTTTCGATGATGAAGTAGAATTTCTCTGATTTATGTTATAACGGGAGTTTAAAACGTATTTCTAAAGAAATTCATTAGACTCTGCTTGGAAACTGGCTAGATAGGATTAGCAAATAAAATTGTTCTATTTTAAGAGGTACGAGAGTACTACTAACGTAACATTTTACCATTAGAAACGTGCCTTGTTTATAGAATCCAAGACTGACATGGAGAAAGTCTATGTTGTATTGCTGGAGAAATGAAAATCATGTTCATCCTCTGTTTGTTCTTTTTGTTCATTTATTTTAACAGTTCACACGAAATCCAGGTATTATTGACTCAAAAATTGAAAAAAGGTTTTTAAAAAGTACACGAAATAACACTTGGACGAAACGTACGTAAATAAAAGGTATTCTTTATTAATATTAGTTGAGTGATAAATGTACAATCACAGTATCAAAACAGTGCTATCGGGATTTACAGTAAAACGGTCTAAAACAGTATCACTTAGATGAAATGCCATTTTCTGGGATAGCATGAGCTGAACACAAAACAAGGAATGCGAATAATTTGGACAGGGGGCTAAACCTCGTGTTTCAAGAAGTTGATGTTTGGTTTTTTAGACTTCATTTGATTTAATAGGGTTTTCGAAAGTGTAGTAAGTAAAAACTGGAGGACTATGATAGCTGAGCCAAAGAAAGAACTTCCTAGAAGAGTTAAATAACAGCCAAAAATGGTACTCAAGAAAAAATTTTTCACGATTGTGATGTGACAAATGATCTCCTTTTGACACCGTGACACGGAGGACCTCTTTCGAAATCGTGATTCCCGTTTTGAACTGTTTTAACTAGTGTCTAAAATCATTTCAGAGTATATTTTTACGTCATCAGTTTTTGCAATTCCGTTGTTCTGTAATTATATTTTTTCGGGTAGAACAAACAGCGGATGAACATGATTTCCAATTCTCCTGCAATGCACAATAGAATTTTTCCATGTGCTCATGGATTCGTTAAACCAAACACGTTTCTAATAGTAAAATGTTACGCTATTAGCATTCCTTTATCTCTTAATATAGAACAGTTTTATTTGCTGACTCTATCTAATAAGTTTCCAAACGGATTTCTAATAAATTTCTTTAGAAAGACGTTTTTAAACTCCCGTTATAACATAAATCAGAGAAATTCTACTTCATCATCGAAACTGTACCAAAACAACATGAAACTCAGGAAGACAAGCGGTAGTCATCCAATTTTAGATATCTGCATCAGAGCCAAATTAGGAACACTGAATTGTATTTAAGGGAAGAGAAACTTTTCTCGGCATCAAAACCAACTTTAAAGAAGGAAAAGAAACAAGTTGTGAAGGCTCTTTACAGAAGCTAACAAGAAACATTAGCTAAGGAATTAAGTCATGGAAGTTTACATGGTAAAACAATGTACCTTACTTCTTGTTAAACGTATGCATGATAATTCTTCTTATTTCTAAATATCATCCCACAACTATATATTTTTCTAAATGGGTTTACATGGCAACAACAAACACTTTCTGACCTTTTCTGGTCAAAAAATTTAGAAATACTTTTGGCATGAAAAAAGTACCTTAAACATCATTATTCGGCTGCAGTTTTACCATCAAATCAATTGTAAGACATATACTGTCGATAATAATTTGACAAAGGATCAATATTCACTAGGTTCTCATCGTTATCCTCGCAATTTTTCCTTCACTGTGGAAATGGCCGGGCTACTGGGTTTAATAAAATGGTGCGTAGAACTCAAGATGGCGGAGTTCCGTCCACGCTAGATGCTGCCGCGTGGAGACAAAAGAGGGCCCCTGATGACGAGCCCAGTTGTTACACTGGCAGAGTTGTGTCATTCACTTTGCCAAGCAACAACAAGGTATCTGTTTCTATTTGTAACACAATAACGTCTTACAAAACTGCATGTGTTAGTTCGATGGCAGACAACAAAAACCTGAGGAAATGTGTTCCGTCCCGTACGATCACGATGCAAGGAGAGTTGTTTAACACAGCTTGATCATGTGCACAATAGAATATTTAAAGCTAGAAACCTCTGAACTCTACAATATGTCTGGAACACATGAACTAAATTTATATCGAACATTGCAATATTTATCATTGCATCATTTGTACGTTTCATATTTAAGATATATGTATATTTACTAACTTATCCATATAAAAAAATTGCTGACTTTATTTCTCTGTCGCCAGCACGTAACTTCCATCTCCTTAAGGTGATTCCTTAGTATTTCCTTACGAATCCTGTAGTGCGCATAAAAATCTCGTAATCAGGCGAATAAGCGTGCGCGATTTCCGGGAACATGGTCTCTGTACTAATTATCTAATTTATGCTGTGGTATGAGCTAACAATAACAAGGGCTAAAAAGGTAAATAGATATGAAAGATTTGTCTTAATCAACTCCAGTAGAGTTTACCTTAAAATACAATTTTACATTCTGAGAAAGGAAACATTTTCCTTCCATCAACACCTTTAACAGCTTTCATCGTATAACTTGCACTGTTTTACAAGGATTTCCAGGGCTCGAGAAAAGCCCCAACAGCACACGTCTAAAATTAGGATAATTTTCAACGTGTGTTTGATATCGCCAATCAGTTGCTGACACGTCACTCGCCCTTCGCTGCACTCTGTCAGATTGATGAAAGAATGGTGAAGCGCTCACCATTCTCTATTTTTTCGGCACAAAAAATTCTGATGTATCATGGTATATCTACGTACACTAAAATGAGGGGCTTGATTTTACCTAATTAGAATATAAGTAAGATGAAGAGGTTTTTAACCTGTCATCAAATTGTCCGCATATCAACTAACAACTTTCAACACACGTTGACGAAACTAGCAAATTCCCCATAACTACTATTTCAAATACAATATTTTTCCTGAAAAACTAAACTTTCGCGTCACAGAATTGGAAAAATGACACATTTTAACACATGGTACACCATTTCAAATGCTCTAATGAAATACATCTTTAACGGCGAAAAAATAACCACGATAAAGTGGCAGAGATAGAGCAAACAGGAAAAAAACTGATGACGTAAAACTCCAATAACCAGATAAACATTTCCACCGACACTGAGGTGAAAAACTGTTTTCGTATAAGCCACATAAGCTAAATTAAAAGCGGACTAAAACATTTTCTTTCTATCACATGCTCAGGAACTTTAAAATCGTGTGCTCGAAACAGTGCATATGACAAGGAGCGGTATATGAGAGAGAGCACCTATCAGTTCCTCTAACATAAACATAACTATCACTTTGGGCTCCGAATATATTCTGAAATAATTTAAAGTAATGTTTAAATGATTTAAAACGGGAACACGATTTTGAAAGAGGCCCTGTCACGGATGTCAGAAGGAGAGATCATTTGTCTCGTTTCATAATCGTATCACAACTTTTCATCGTAGTATTGTATTCATGCCGGACATTTGATTCTTTTAGGAAGTTCTCTCTTTGGCAAAGCTATCAAAGTCTTCCAGTTCTTACACTTTCGAAACCCTCTTAGATTAAATGAAGTCTAAAAAAACCAAACATCAACTGGTTGAAACGCGGGGTTTAGCTCCCTGTCAAATTATTCGTATTCCTTGTTTTGTGTTCAGCCTATGCTATCCCAGGAAATTGCCCTTTTTATCTTTGTGACACTTTTTCACACCGTTTTACTATAAATCACTATAGCATTGTTTTGGTTATTGTGATTATGTATTTATCACTAAACGAATCTTAATCAAGGATTCATGTTACTTAAGCACGTTTTCGTGCTGTTGTAATTATATCCTGGTAGATTTAAAGGTATCATTCCTCCCGATTTCTTCCCAGAATTGCGTCATTCACTCGTTATTATCTGATAGTCGTATGACGTGATTCCAAACATTTTCTCTGTCTCTTTTCAGACTTATTCAGATCATTTCAGTATGATTCAACCTTTTTCCTCTGATAGTAGCTAGTAAAATGAGTAATATGCCACGAAAAATGGTTTTCAATTTTTCGGTCAATGATATAAGGATTTTGTGTTAACTGATAGAATTAATGAATAAATAGAATCAAAAGCTAATGAACTTGTTTTCTTTCCTAGTTTGATGCAACGTAAAATCTCTCCACGCAGCAGCTTCTCATACAGGAAAAGAAACCATCACAATAATTATTAACCAAACAGATTTCTAACAATAAAGTTTTGCGCCGTTAATAGTACACTTTTCATTAAAATAGAACAATTTTATTTGCTGATCCTATCAAATCAATTTCCAAACAGAGTCCTACGAGTTTCTTAAAAAAGACATTTCAAATTTCAGTCAGTGGATCAGTCAAAGAAATTCTTACCCATCATGGGAACTGTAATAAAAAAAAGGATGGAACTTTCAACGGAAACAGAAGCTCAGGAAAAAAAAGCGGTAGTTTCCCAATTTTAGAAATTTACTTTAGCACCAAATTAAGAACACTCAATCGTATATAAGTGGGAAGAAAAACATTCCTCGGCATCAAAATCAACTTCAGAGAAGAAAAGAAACAAGTTGTGAAGACTCTTTACAGAAGCCACAAGAAATACTAAGAAATTGATGGAGTTTTACAAGGTAAAACAATGTATCATGGTTATCGTGAAACGTGTTTCTAGGAATTCCTTCATTCATTAAATTTTATTCCTCAGTTAGGTATTTTTGATATGGTTTACCGGGAAACACGGCGGACTTTTCTGAATTTTGTAGTTAAATAGGTTAGAAATCTTTTTTAAAAGTATAAAAATCAAGGTTTTTTTCAGATCTCTTAACCATGAATATCATTACAATATTTCTAACTTAGAGCGCAAAATTACAAAATGCTGATTGCCTAAGAAAAAGGGAATTATTCCTTAACTTCGTCAATTGCCCTGGGAAAGTGCAAAAATTTAGAAATCATTATGATTTCACTGATGGCGAATGTTTTCCAGCAGGGTTGCTTTCATCGCTTTACCGTTGTTGTACAAAAATAGAATTGTATTTAGCTGACTCCTGCGTTATACAGTCCTTTGACTCTAATTGAACTCTAAACAAGCTTCCTAGAGCGTGTGTTGATCTCCTTTACAAAAGAAAAATTTGCCCTTTATATTATAAACAAGCAATGGCTCGTTTCCACGTAAAAGGAAGGAATTAATATCACTCGTGTTTTCAGAAGTTGCGAGCATTTCTGGAACTTCTGAAACGCGCGTGAAATATTAATCCTTAGTCTTACTCGGCCCCATGCAATTAGCTATAAACATCGTTGAAAATAAATTGACAATGGATCCTGTATTATAGGTTCTCGTCGTTTTCCTCGCAATTTATCTTCACTATGGAAATTGCCGGGCAGCTGCTTTAACCAAAATCATGGGTCGAATCCAAAATGGCGCAGTCCCGTCCACGCAGGGTGCTGCAGCATGGAGACAAAAGAGGTCCCCTGATGATGAGCCTAGTTGCTACACTGGTACACATGCGTCACTCACTTTGCCAAGCAACAACACGGTATCTGCTCCTATTTGTAAGACAGTAACGTCTTACAAAACTGCATGTTTCAGCTCGATGGCAAACAACAACAACCAGAGGAAATGTGTTCCGTCCCATATGATCACGATGGAAGGAGTGGCGTTTAACACAGCCTGTTCCTGTGCACCATAGAATACTTAGAGCTAGAAACTTAACTCTACAATGTGTCTGGAACACAAGGACTATAGTTATATCAACCAGCAACTGCCATTTAGAGCTGTTCCATTATTTATCATTGTATCATGCATGTTTCTTATTTATATGTATGTATTTATGACCCTATTACTGGATCAATAAAGTATGTCATATTTTTTCACTTTTTGTATCAAATCGTTCTTCACATAACCAAATGACGGAATGCTTCGGGGAATACTCTGAAGAAAAACAGTTTTGGTGCAAAGATAGCTATATTGCGGGGCATTTTTTAAAATTTATTTGACTGCAAACTCTGTAGAACATAGATTTTCGTGATTTTCGTGAGTGGAGTCTAGTTGTTGTGATAGATTTCGTCTGTTGCATTTGGTGTGTTTATATCGTTGCGTAATGCTGGAAATAATCAAAGTGCTCTGTGAGCAAACTCGTGAATTGACATATGATTTTTAGATTATGTTTAATGTTATCTGGTTTAGGGAATTTTGTGGTTGATTGTCATATCTAGAGTACGAGCAGTAGTTCAGTGTTCGCTTTTTTTTAGCATTCTCTCTCAAACTCGGAATTAAAACGTTGTTACTTTCTCCTCATCTGTCCGCCCTTGTTTTGTTGTGCTTTCCTGACTTACCTGTCAATCAATTTAATTTCAACTCTCTGCACACAATTTCAACTTTCTATACTGTTTTCGAATAAATGAAGTATTTTCAGCCAATAAACATGCTGAAATTTTTTCATGTTTATTCACGAATCGCACTATTTTATGCTCAAAATTGCATCTTTTATCCAACCAATGAGCCAGCTTCACTAAGTCACAAAAACCAATCAGACTTCAACGCTTGTTTTAAGAAATCTATCAAATTGCAGGAAAATGAAAGACAACTGTATCAACTTTTTACAAAACAGCTGAATACTGGATAAATAAAATATTTTTGCAGATGAAAAAAACCGTATTTGAAAGACTGAATTTTGCGATTTCAAAAGGCAATTTAGGTCTGATTTCAAATCACACAAATAATTTCTGACCTGACAATACATATGCGTAAATTTCAGCATGCTCAAGATTTACTCGTGCTGATTTATCCCAAATTGCACTCGAAATCATGTGATTACCTCTACACATTGACTGCATGATACCCGCTTTATTGCCTAAAAAGACATATTTTCACGATCTTCATTGTACAAACCGTGAAACATGACGAGCAGAAGCGGAATTGGTAAGCACATCAAAAACAACAGTTACCTCACACGACTTTGTGCCCTTTGACAAGTACACGATGAATCGAAACAAAAATTAACTATAGAACAGCATTTTTTCTGCGTGTTCCATAAAAAATGGACAACTGCTTTAAAATTGACGGCAAAGAGTACAAACATACCTGACGGCCATCTCTTCTAATCGTCAAGTAGACTTGCTCAATCAACCACCAACGGCCGCCACATGGGCACTCACAAAGTTTCTTCTTTCTCTCAAGGTGATCGCGTGGAACTCTGGGTAGAAAAAGTAAACAATCAAAAATTTGACGAAGAAAGTTGATGTCCTCCAAAACTTATCGAGTTATGCATGGCCCTATGTTGTGACATCATGGGGTCATCAAATTTGATAACTGTGCCGGACTGGCTATGTTCTAGACGTTTCGCAGTCATGTAAGGTCAAATATAGTTACTGTGAACCTATTGGAATCTTTTTCGTTGCACTGAAGCTTTTGTATATGGGATCGTATGGCAAAATAAGGAACCAAGCAAGAACCTATCAGAACGCTCGGATTTGCCTTAAGACTCATTTGCCATATAATAACATGTATCATTAAAACGGTTTAGTTTGTACTTGAGCTAATTAAGAGACCCATCCAGCCGGAGCTTATCCCTGTTTCCACGTAGCATGAGGCGATAAGAAAAGCTATTACTCCCTCCAGGTAACTCCCCAGCATTTCATCCACCTTCCCTGCAGGATAATTCACTGGTATATACTCAAACAAACTCCTGGGTGGGGAGAGACATTGTGAGAGTAAAGTGTTTTGCCTAAGAACACAAAACAATGATATGTCACCCCCCTAACTAGTATATTTAATTGATCCAGTAAAATTACTCGAAACATAACAACTGCGGATTTGAAAACTTTATTAACGGTTTTGTGAAAACGGTTGACAAGGCAGGCCATCAAGTATCTCTTGAATTTGGATAAGGTTATAAATACATACAAATAAATACGAGGCATATGCATGATATAATGATAAATACTGCAACAGTTCTCAACAGCAGTTGCTGCTCGATACAATTATATGCATTGTGTTCCTTACAGACTCTGGTACATAAAGGAGTCCAAACAGCTAGATTTTAAGAGTTCTATGGTGCACATGAACAGGCTGTGTTATACGCGACTCCTTCCATTGTCAGCATATGGGACGGAACACATTTCCTCTGGTTGTTGTTGTTTGCCATCGAACTGAAACATGCAGTTTTGTAGGATGTTACTGTCTTACAAATGGGAACAGTTACTGTTTTGTTGCTTGGCAAAGAGAGTGACGCATGTGTACCAGTGTAACAACTGGGCTCGTCACCAGGGGACCTCTTATGTCTCCATGCGGCAGCAACCAGCTTGGAGTGGACTCCGCCATCTTGAATTCTGCGGACGATTTTGTTTAATGCAGATGCCCGGCAATTTCCACGGTGAATATAAATTGCGAGAATAACGACGAGAACCTAGAATATAGAGATCATTTGTCAAATTATTATTAACATTGTATAATCGAATTGACTTTGTTAAACTGCATCAGAATGAACATCTTTAAAAAAGCCCTTTCTTGTTATTACATTTCAAGAATATTTCTAAATCATTCAACTAGAAAAGATCAGAAAGTTTGCCATGTTGCCAAGTAAAACCATGTAAAATAAAATACCTAACTGGGGAATTAAAAATAAAGAAATGACAGAATTTCTATGAAAACGTTTTAAAATAGCCATGGTTAATTTTTTTACCTTGTAAACCTCCATAACTCAATTCCTTAGTATCTCTTGAATTCTTCTCTTTCTTTTCTCTCTGAAGTTGATTTTGATGCCGAGTGATGTTTCTCCCTCTTTTATTCAGTTGAGTGTTCCTAATTTGGCGCTGAAGTAAATATCTATAATTGGGAAACTACCGCTTTTCCTCCTCAGTTTCTTCATCCGTTTTTCGACTCTGCTCAGTGTTCCATCCTTTTTCCCCTTGTTTTAGTACAGTTTCGATGATGGATTAGCATTTCTTTGATTGTCACTTGTAGAAATCTGTTTGGTTTATTGAATTACAGTACTCTTTCCTTTCCTACAGCATGGAGAAATTCTACGTTGAATCGCTCGAGGAATGAAAATCATGTTCACCCGCCTTTAGCACAGTTTTTTTTCATGAATTTCAACAGTTCACGTGAAATCTTGTTATTCTTGTTTTCGTAGCATATTATTCTTGATATTTTATGAGCTACTATGAAGAGAAAAGATTGTGTGATATCAAACTGATTGGAAGGTGTTTGACAAGAAACAGAGAGAATGTCCACCATTACATTATATGACTATCAGATGATAACAGGCGAATGATAGAAGGCTTGGAAGACATTGGGAATAATGATACCTCACGATCTTACGAGAAAATGAATACATCAGCACGAAAATGGACATATGTAACATGAATCGTTAATTAAGATTCGATCAATGATAAAAAGCAGAATCAATGATATTTACCAAAATAGTGATCTTATGATTTAAAGTAAAACAGTGTCACATAGATGAAATACCATTTTCTGAAATAGCATGAGCTGAATACGAAAAGAGAAAAGGAATCTTTTTAACGGTGAGCTAAACCACGTATTCCAATAAGTTGATGTTTGGTTTTTTAGACTTCATTTTATTCCACGGGTGGGTTTTCGAAAGTGTAACAAGTAACAACTGAAAGACTTTGACAGTTTTTCCAAAGAGAGAACTTCCCAAAAGTATTAAATATCGGCAGACATAAATACAATTATAAGATGAAAAGTTGCAGTACGATTGTAATACGTGAGAAATGATCTCTCCTTTTGGCATCCGTGACAGGACGTCTTTCGAAATCGTGTTTCCCGTTTTCAATCATTTAAGCTGGTTTCTAAATTTATTTCAGAATATACTTGAGGTTATCATTTTGTTTTAGAGGAAGTCGTAGCCGCTTTCCCTCACATATCACTCCTTGTGCACCACACAATCGCTAATGCGCATGCATTGCGCAGGGTGCAAGATTTTCCAGTTTCTTATTATTTTACAGAAATAAAAAGAGAATTTTTTTGGTCCACTTATAATTCAGCTTGTGTGGTGTTTACGAAACTATACGATTAGCTAAATTATACACGCATTTTGATTGCATGGCTCTTACTGATGATCTATTAGAAGAAATACCGTGATCTATGACGTCACCATTAACAATATTTTCTTTTCTACATTACAAAACAAAAATATTTCATGTCGCCGTCGTTCTGTTCAGTAGTAGTTGAAAAATGAGGCCAAAATGTGGTAAGAACATCAGCAACTCACACGGCTCTGCTTCCTGTGCCACCTTTTCGCTCTCACCACATTTTGACTTTTGACGTCATCTGCACGTGATCTTTCGTTGAACCGACGCAGAGAAGCATGGAATCTGTTTGTTAAACGATTATTTAAATCAGTATCGGTGGAAACGCTTCTGGTTATTTAATATTAACGTTAACAGTTTTTTTCATGTTTCATATTTGCTCTGTCTCTGCACCTTAAAGATGTAGCGGCTTTACTACAGCATAGAGCACCATGTGCTTTAATGTGTCAAGTTTTCAGCTGTGTTGTGCTACTGTTATGCTTTTTTTTTTCAAGTAAAATGATTTATTTGAAATTGTAGTCATTTTTTTCAACGTATGTTGAAAGTTGTAAGCTGATATGTGGAGGTAAGGAGGAATTGGTCAGAGCAGAGTTTTTTGGTTTAAATAAATTAGAACTAGGGTATAATCGGATAG